TGTGGGGGCTAATGGTTGGCTAATTGGGGCCAAAATGGGGGGCTAAAACGAGGGTTGAAATGGGGGATGCAGGGGCTAATTGTTGGCTAAATGGGGGCTTTAAGTGCAGGCTAAAATGCAGGGTAAACAAGTGCATCCCTCTGGACTGAAATTGGGGCTAACATGGGGCCTAAGATGTGGGCCACAACGAGCGCTCAACTGAGTGAAGGGGCACGTGACAATAATACACAATAGTACAATACCCATTATACCCATGCTGACCCATCAGGAGAATATGATGTTAATCACTGTTGATTTCCGGATCTCCACTATCACTTGCCATCTGTTTTTTTTTTTTTTTTTTTTTTTTTTTTTTTTATTGCTTCGTTAAATTTTTTTTTTTTTAATTATGTTGCCGGAAACACCAAATTCAGAGGGTGATTCCATGGTGATTTTCCAGCCAGCATCTAAAAAAAAAAAAAAAAAATCTATTTTTTTTAATCTTTTTTTTTTTTTTTTTTTTTTTTTTCCTGCCATCCGTTTTATGGTTGAAATTGAAATAGAGAGCGGATAGATAAAGGTGGGCCTGGCAATAGCCCAACATCTGCATCTGTGCCACGATCAGACAAGATAGCATACCAGGTGCCTATAGCAGGCGCCCATAGCCGGTGGCTGAAGCGGATGGCTATAGCTGAACACCAGTGCAATAGCTGAAGACCGCTACCCTGTCATAATTTCGCAAGAGAGAGATGACACCCTTGCTCAACACCAATGGGACCCTGCCCCTTATCTATTCCATGGTACAAGGGTTTTGCTTGTGGGCTCTGTAGTGGGCGGGGCACCACTGTCTTGTGGTGCCCCGCGCGTAGGTAAGCACCAATAACGCTAAGAAAGCGTTTGCTATACCGTACTTACTTCCTTCATATAGCCAATAGCCGGCGCCAAAGATGGCGCCAAGCCGGCGGCCACCGTCTGAAATGCCGGAACGACTTGTTTTTTGGGGGGGGTGGCAAATTGGCAATGCACTAACCTGAACAGTGACTTTTTCCGCCACAGGCCGGTGTCGTCGATTACCCTGACGCCAGGTCGGTGGCGTTCTGGGACACATCTCGCTTGGTGGAATCCGGTCCGATTCCGCGATTGTGACCACATATGTCGAATAGCGAATAGCCAGTCGCTGGGAGCGAAGTCACATCTGAGGCCATTGATCGGAGGAATCTAGGGGCCAGACTCGAATCGCCGTGTAGAGATTGCTTCGTCAGGCTCACCTACCACCTCCGCTGGAGCATGGGAGTAGTCCGCAGGGTTTTTGGCCTCAATGTGACATTCACACCTCATGGCTCTTTCAGACCGCAAAGTTGCAAACTGAGTTTTTGGAGAGTCAGGGCATACTCAGACTTTCGGTCTTTTTCGACTGAATCTGACCGCACGTGCAGTCGGGTGCATCTAGGAAAGTCTATTGCCAGTACGCTCCTGTCAGTGGCGATTCCCAAACACCAGAGAGATGATGACCAGAGTCGACCAAACGCTGAACGCCACGTACACGTACGGGTTTTCCTGCCATGTCGGTGGTTTCTTAAAATTCAGAATGTCATCCAAAGGATCGTAGATCTTTGCACGCATCATCCTAGCTCGCGACTGCCTCTCCCTTGCCGTCTGTGTCCAAGACTTCTTTCCGGCGACGCTGCTGCTGACGGGTAAAAGCACAACAAGGCATGGAAAATACAGACCAAGAGGCAAGGGGAAAAAAAAAAACATTGTAAATTTGGAATGATTATCTTGGCCATGAGTACAACCACCCCAATCCCAGTGACGACGATGACGACAACAATCACAAGAACACCCTCTTCGATGGCCTCGAGACCGAAAACCTCAACAATGACGCCTCAAGGAAAACAGCAAACACAAGAAAGAAAACGCAACAACAAGAACAGAAACACCAGCATAGGCCCAATGCATGGTAGTAGATTTAGATTTTTACCCTTTCCCAAGGATAGGCTAGGCCCTTGCTGGTTGATTATGTGGATAGATACGTAGTAAATGCAGCTATCCCCCGTATGAGAAGAGAAGACAGCTTTTAAAAAAGAAAAAAAAAAGAAAAAAAAAAGGAAAAAAGAAAAAAAAAAGAAAAAAAGAAAAAGGGAAAATTTGTCTGGCGTCCCTGTAATTTGCGTTATTTTGCATCGCGCCCCTCCAACGGCCGATTTACCCTGTCGCGCCCCTCTGAGCAGGGTTCGAACTTTCCATAAGACCCCGGTGTCGTTTGGGCCTCAAATCTTTTTGTTACACCCCTACCGGTACCGGTCTCTAATTTGCGGGATGCCCTACTGGTCCCTAATTTGCGGGATGCCCCTACCGGATGGCCGTTAAAAGCCAGCAGGAAAATTTTCGAGATGCCCCTACCGGTACCATTTGCTGCTATGTCATCTGCTGCCACGTCATCTTCTGCTACGTCATCTGCTGGCAGTCCATTTGCTACCAAGCCATTTGCTACTACGCCATTTGCTGCTACGTCATCTGCTGCCACGTCATCTGCTGCCAATCCATTTGCTACCAAGCCATTTGCCGCTATGTCATCATCTGCTGCCTCATCAGCTGCATCTGCTGCAAGAGGGCGTCTGCTGCCAAGCCGTCCACAACTGCCACATCTTCTACTGCTTTCCCAGATGCAGGGGCGGCTCCCTGTTCCGACAAACGAAAGGATGTTAGTGGTGGACAGTCTGAGTCAATGATGCGGGCAAAGGCGACCTTGATGAATGCAAAGGCGGGAAAGAAGAAGTCTGGGACGAAAATCAGGGGCCGGGCGTTGGCTCTTGCAAGTCAGTATCTCGTCTCATCCGACGGTTACGATCTATGGAAGAAGATGATGAAGGAGGAGAGGGGTGTTGTGATGGCGCTGCGCGCCTATGGCTGGTTGGTGGACTGTACAACATCCCAGCCCTCTCTCTCTCTCTCTCTCTCTCTCTCTCTCTCTCTCTC